TTGTTTTCAAAGTAAGTGTATGAAAGTGAACATCAGTTTGATCTATTATCAACACTGATAGAGACGAAACTGAATCGCATATAGACTTAATTTCTTGGCTGAATCGCATATAGACTTAATTTCTTGGCGACAAAATTTAAAATTTATTAATCATTTTTCAAATAGGTCGATCTATTTGGTTAGTTGCTATTAGATTTTTAAACTTGTAATATTCAAAATCCTAACGATTATGATGTGTTTTAATAAAAAATAATATTCATGTATTTAGAATTTCATAGAAGTAAAATTCCGTATAAAAAAATATTCATGTATTTAGAATTTCATAGAAGTATATCTCACATTCTACATATATAGGAACTGATATTATATAAAGTTTGCATCAAACATAAATCCGCGCTTTGAAAACGCGGATCAAAATCTAGTATTCTCTACTAAAAGAGAAGTATCATTTTTATCTACTACAAAATAGTTATATGTAGGTTCATATATTCAGTTACATTTTTTTTTATTTACATCAGTTTATTTAATGTATAACATTTTTATATAATTATAAGGATCTTAGTAACAAATCTATTTTAACTGTAACTAAATTTTAGTTTTACTAATCACAAAATCTATTGAGTAAAAATCTAACAAAATATTTTTCAAAAAATTTAAATACTTTTTAATTGATAAACTGATTAATTTCGTAAATAGTAGTAAACTATTATTATAAATTAATCGTAATTAATTTTTATAAAAAATATAATAAATTCTATTCTAACTTTATAAATTTTATAAGTATAGTCTATATTATATTAAAAAAGAAGTAATAAATGAATTACATATTAAAAATATATATTAAATTGGTAAATTAATATATTTTGAGAAAAAAACATTTAAATAAGTTAATAAAATATCATCCACCATTTAAGTGACTAAAATATCATTTATCTTTAAAAAAGATTAAACATTCGTAAATTATGTAATAAATTTTACACAAAACAAAATTGTTAACATATGTTAATTTTTTATATTTAAAAGAATATATTATCTATTTATTTGTTTTTAAAATAACAGCAGTATATTATATAAAATGATTATATATTAAATATAATATAAAAAATTTATATTTATCAAATGAAAAGTTACCCACACGGATGTGCGGGTCAAAATCTAGTAATTGTTTTAAAGGAAATGATAATTAATGAAAAGATTGATACATTTAAAATTTATGTGATATAAGAAAAGGAATATTCCATTCAATTTTTTAGTACATATTTTATTTGAAAGATTTACTTAAAAATAGGAGGTCTTATGGAAAGATGAGCTTTCTATAGAATATCATTGATTTTAGTATTATTCATAATTTTACAGTAAACGGAACAAATTCCATCACTATCACTGTAACAAAAACATGAATGAAATTTTCAGAAGAATTGATTTAGTGGTAATCATGAAAACAATATTAAAATGAATCACAATTTGAAGAATTATGAACGAAATAAACAGTGATATGAACTTTAGGAGTATATCCGTGTATATAATTACATGGCTGGTTAGTGATGAAAAACAGTTGAACCAAGCTGGAATTTAGGAGGACATTCCAACTAAAACCGAGGTTTGCTTGGTTAAGGAGAGTCGATATTGTTGGTTTAATAAGTNAATCACAATTTGAAGAATTATGAACGAAATAAACAGTGATATGAACTTTAGGAGTATATCCGTGTATATAATTACATGGCTGGTTAGTGATGAAAAACAGTTGAACCAAGCTGGAATTTAGGAGGACATTCCAACTAAAACCGAGGTTTGCTTGGTTAAGGAGAGTCGATATTGTTGGTTTAATAAGTAAATCGATTTAGGTAATTTAGGAATGTCGTTAAATGACAAAAAAACATAGTGGCATTCAATAGTAATTCTTTAGAAAAATTAAGGGGTACTTCTTATTTGTACTTCCCTTTTAATAGATTAGATATTATCTATTTATTTATTTTTAAAATAACAGCAGTATATTATATAAAATGATTATATATTAAATATAATATAAAATTTTTATATTTATCAAATGAAAAGTTACCCACACGGATGTGCGGGTCAAAACATAGTAATTGTTTTAAAGGAAATGATAATTAATGAAAAGATTGATACATTTACAATTTATGTGATATAAGAAAAGGAATATTTCATTCAATTGTTTAGTACATATTTTATTTGAAAGATTTACTTAAAAATAGGAGGTCTTATGGAAAGATGAGCTTTCTATAGAATATCATTGATTTTAGTATTATTCATGATTTTACAGTAAACATAACAAATTCCATCACTATCACTGTAACAAAAACATGAATGAAATTTCCAGAAGAATTGATTTAGTGGTAATCATGAAAACAATATTAAAATGAATCACAATTTGAAGAATTATGAACGAAATAAACAGTGATATGAACTTTAGGAGTATATCCGTGTATATAATTACATGGCTGGTTAGTGATGAAAACAGTTGAACCAAGCTGGAATTTAGGAGGACATTCCAACTAAAACCGAGGTTTGCTTGGTTAAGGAGAGTCGATATTGTTGGTTTAATAAGTAAATCGATTTAGGCAATTTAGGAATGTTGTTAAATGACAAAAAAAAAACATAGTGGTATTCAATAGTAATTCTTTAGAAAAATTAAGGGGTATTTCTTATTTGTATTTCCCTTTTAATAGATTAGATATTATCTATTTATTTATTTTTAAAATAACAGCAGTATATTATATAAAATGATTATATATTAAATATCATATAAAAAATTATATTTATCAAATGAATAGTTACCCACACGGATGTGCGGCTCAAAATCTAGTAATTGTTTTAAAGCGAATGATAATTTGTTTTTTTTTTGGCAACAAGCAAATGATAATTAATGAAAAGATTGATACATTTAAAATTTATGTGATATAAGAAAAGGAATATTCCATTCAATTGTTTAGTACATATTTTATTTGAAAGATTTACTTAAAAATAGGAGGTCTTATGGAAAGATGAGCTTTCTATAGAATATCATTGATTTCAGTATTATTCATGATTTTACAGTAAACGAAACAAATTCCATCACTATCACTGTAACAAAAACATGAACGAAATTTTCAGAAGAATTGATTTAGTGGTAATCATGAAAACGATATTAAAATGAATCACAATTTGAAGAATTATGAACGAAATAAACAGTGATATGAACTTTAGGAGTATATCCGTGTATATAATTACATGGCTGGTTAGTGATGAAAAACAGTTGAACCAAGCTGGAATTTAGGAGGACATTCCAACTAAAACCGAGGTTTGCTTGGTTAAGGAGAGTCGATATTGTTGGTTTAATAAGTNAATCACAATTTGAAGAATTATGAACGAAATAAACAGTGATATGAACTTTAGGAGTATATCCGTGTATATAATTACATGGCTGGTTAGTGATGAAAAACAGTTGAACCAAGCTGGAATTTAGGAGGACATTCCAACTAAAACCGAGGTTTGCTTGGTTAAGGAGAGTCGATATTGTTGGTTTAATAAGTAAATCGATTTAAGCAATTTAGGAATGTTGTTAAATGACAAAAAAACATAGTGGCATTCAATAGTAATTCTTTAGAAAATTAAGGGGTATTTCTTATTTGTACTTCCTTTTTAATAGATTAGATGAGTTTGTTAGGATGGTACAAAATATATCCGAGTCAAAGTGTTATTAGCCAGATCCGAATGAATAACCCAAAACCAAAAAAATCTGGAAAAAATCTAGGTCGATCTGAATGTTCAAATTAATCATAAATATAAATATTTGAAACATAAATATCTAGTTTAAATATTCAGTTTTAGATTTATTTTAAATGATATTTAAAATTAATTATCTAATTTTTTTGTTTTGGTTTAAGATTTTAGATTTTAGATTTTCAAACCAATATAACCTGAATCCGCATGATATATGGTTACTTTATCGATTTTAGGATGTGTACAAATTAGAACCAAACCCGACATGTTATATTTGAATCTGATCTATACTTACAAACATGCCTACTTACAAAATTATGACACCTATGATGTGATATAAAATTAGTTTTGATTCAAAATATTCGACCCATATCCCAATAGGTATTTGAACTCCCAATCATAACTCGTAATTTGGAATAAATATTTGTTAAATTAATTTTATATTTGATAAATATTTGTCTGTTTAGTGGAATAACTCGTAAAATTATAATCGTAAAAATATCAGTAATAAAATGTTTCATCATATAATTAAATATTAATAGTAACTATATTAATATTTATTTTATAAAAAAAATATAAAAATTATTTTAAGACTTTATTTATGATAATTATATTATTACGCATTAGCGGAGGTTTGAAGAATTTTTTTATTATTATTTCGTGTATCAGTTATATATAATTAAATATTAATTATTTATATGCTAATGTTTTAATTTAGATATGTATATTAAAATATAAAATTATTTCTTTTTTAAATATCTTATGGTAGTATTTTTTTTGTTCTGTAAATGTATTATAAGTTATAAAGTAGATTAATTTATATTATAATTATTATTTTGTGTAGTTTTTAGTTACAAAATATGTAATATTTATATATAAATGTTATAGAAGGTTATTTCTTATTCTTTAAATCAAAATGAGTTAACACTCATTTGCAATTTAATTTAATATTATTTTACGTTTTTATTATTAAAATAATATTAAAAATAAACATTTATTTTTAAAATAAAAATATATTAAATATTATATTAATATTATGTGTTTATTTAATAATAACTAAGTTTGTTGTACGAAACATAACATAAAATTAAATAAAATGTAATGTTTTAATCTATACTATTTGCAAGTAGATAAAATGTGCTTCTGTTTTAATTGTATTAATAGATTTAATTACCTAGATAATTGAAGGTCTATTGATAAATTTTATATTTTTCACTCAATAAATTTTGTAGTTTTTTTTTCTGTTTTTACCCCGAGATAAGTAAATAGAATTTAGACTCACACAACAAATCACATTTTGATAATTATTTAACTATAATTTCAAAATATTTCAACAGTTTTAAATAGGTAATCCCCTAATCTGAATAACTGAATCAGAGACAAATTTAAGTTCATAAACATGAAAAAATATTACACAACTTCAACCACTTCACCTTCCTTGCAAACTGCAACACTGATCTCCAAAGTATTATTCTTCTTTGATTTCACCCTGCAACAATTTCTTCTCGGAGACTGCACCCAACAACAAAATATAAAACATATAATATATTATTATTTCAAGCAGTATTTAAACGGACTTTAACTTGGTGACAAAAAACAGATGTTGACTTACTCTGTCCCAAAGGTGAGGATCCGGTTTCTTGTAAACAATGACTGTTCTAAGATCACCGGGATTAGCCATCTTCCACCGACACTCGGGTTGAGCCACACGGTGACTTTCGTAATGGCTCACCGTCATATTTGTCTTGGGATGAACTCCCGTCGTTGTCATATAGAACACAAACGGTTTCTGGCATGGATGACGACTCACCGGTCGTGTATTAAAAGCGTACGCCGTGTAGTCCGCCCGCCGATACCTGCCAAGAAAAACAAACAATTTTTTAAAATGTTGATATCTTGATTTATGGTTTGACTATTGTAAGTTGCTCAAAAAAAAAAAAGGTTTGACTATTGTACGAGTTTTTGTAAAGCCGAGGCTACTATGCCACCGACGTACATATTCTAGTGTACACTAATTATTAATGATGTAGATACCAATTTAAGAAGGTTCTTGAAGGCATTTCCATCTCTCGAGCGGAAAAGACTCCACGAAAGATCTGAACTGCGTATCCCCAAGAGACTGAAACAGTCCACTTACGGCGTTTGTCGTAGCATATCGACTGTTGCATAAGTCCCGCAGAGTCTACCATTGCCGGCACTTGTAGACGCTTCAAGGCGTCTACACGAGTCATGTTCGGAAATATTGGTTCGACCACATCGAGATGGTGAAGTGTAACCAATGGAGCTACCGGATGTGCCGCTAGTAGACCGAATAGATTCCCATACACATCGTACTGAAAAACACAAAGAAAGACATAGTAATCATATTGAATAAAACTCAGAATTAGGACTAACTAATTAGTAGGTGCACAAAAAAAGGAGACTAGTTAATTAGTAGTTACTGAACCGACCGGTTCTTGGTAGGTAACCGACGGTTCAATGAACCACAAACTAACAAGTAACAAATCAAGGAAAGTGTCACGTGCGATGCACGCGACGTTTAATGCGTGACAGCTCTTTTAAGAAACGGCCCGACATCGTGACGACGTGTACCTTACTCCGGCAACAATAACGTACGGACAAATTTGGGTCCAGTGACGTGGCTCGAATTTTACATATGTAAACCAATAGCTAGAATTTTATGAAAAGACATTTTAATTTTTAATCTTGACCGAGTACCTATTTAAAGTTCACTAACTACACATTTATTACACACTTTACGCTTCCTATTAAATGGTGATGATCAGTAGATCTCGTTGCAGTTGAAGTTTTAAACCACCTGCTCATTAATCTTATTACTCGTAATTATCAAAGCAAACTTCAATCTTGTTTTCAAAAAATTAAATGTTTTAGCTTTTTATACATATTAAAAAAACATAAATAATATTTTTTTTTCAATAAAATTTTTAGAAATATAATTAACTTTTTCGGAAAATACAATTTTCATTAAATTATATAATCGAAAATGTAAAAAAAAAAATTAGAACAAATATTTTTCTGGAATGTTAATTTTTTTTTGAAACGGAGGAAATAGTTTATTCTAATTTTTAATATAATTATACTTTAAATATAAAATAACTTACGCTTGTTTATGTAAGTTTATAATTTATCATATTAATAGAAATGTATACTTACATATTAAATAGTAGTAAGTATTTTATTAAAAGCATCTCAAAAACACACTCTATATTAAAGTTTGCAAAATTCTATTTTTGAAGTTTTAATGTGTTCTTCTCCGAAAGTAAAACTTCAAATTTAATTTTAAAACTATTTGTATTTTATTTTATGGTCCTTATCTTTGTCATAATTAATATAACTTCATAATTATTTTTATAAATAACTAGCATATATGAAAAAACATAACAATAATATTATTAAAAAATATTTACCTATAAATAGAAATACATAACTAATAATAAACTACAAACAAAATATCACATTATTTCATAAAATTATTTTCATAATACTTCATCTTTAGTTTCACAATACTTATTTGGATAACATTTTGGAGATTTTGAAAATTTCAGAGAAAATTTACCATACTATTAATATTGTTGTAATATTTAAATTTATGTAATAACTATGTTTTTCATGTACCTTTTAAAAAAAAGTCTTTAAGTTTCTTTTATAATATTCGTGAAGTCTAATTTTAGTTTTGAAATAATATGAATTTTATTTTAAAATTTTATGTATAAAACTTAAATTTATAAAAACAAATATGAAATATTTATAAGATATAAAATTTTTAAGGACTGAAATGTTAAACGAGAAAATATTAAAAAAATCATAAATATAATATATAATTAATTGTAAAGACTAAAATATAAATAAAAAGATGAAACTTCAAATTTGAAGTTTGTTTTTGGAGAGTCAAAAATTTTATATTTGGTGTTATAGAGTATCTTTAGGAGGTCCTCTAACATATTTTTTCATAATTTAACATGTTTTGGAGTTGAATTAACTGCTGATTAACTAAAAATTTAACTAGATTCATACTAGTAATCTACGAGAATATTTAAAATTAAAAGGAATTAAAGAGATACTTACTGACCTGGTGAAAACCGAGTTCTTTAGTGAGTGGAACACCGAGTTCAGCCATACAAGCTTGCATCCGATCATCTGAACCGTACAACGCCGGATATCTCTTTATGCAACGATCCTGCATTTTGCTCAGCGCCACCGCTAACGGATAGCTCACGGCGAATCCTCCGCCGCCGTAAGCCATTCCATAAGAGAAGTAAATGTTCTGAAGATGACTTTCCGACAAACTCCCGATGTAATACATCTGATTGTGATCGTATTTCCTCAGAACTCTGATGAGATTCTCGGCGACGAAGACTGTGTCGTCGTCTCCCATCACGAACCATCTCACGTCTTCGAGTCCTAGTTTGAGCGTCTCCGTCACGATCCGCGAGATTCGAATCGCCGATCTGTGTCCCTGTTTGTTTTTATAAGGAAACTTCGAAGTGTCGGCGGAGATTTTAACCGGGGGGAGGTTGGTTTCGTTTTCTTGGTCGAGTTTCTTAACCGGTTTCTCTAACCAGACGTAACCACGCATTTGATTTGGTTTGTACCAGAGCTTGATATACTCTTTCCTCTGTTTCCATAGCCTCGCCGACGCGGCGATTCCGAAAACTACGTGCCGGAGCTCGGTTTTCAGGGGAGGAGGAGGAGGAGGTGGTGAGGAGTTGTGAGATTTGATTACGGCTGTTTGATTAGACTGGAAGAGAATCAACGGCTGAGATGAGTTTACAATGTCGTTCAAGCGGCGAACAACGGCGGAGAAAGGCTCCGCGTGACAGGCACGTGAGCTGGAGATGAGCTTAAGAGTGTAGACGACGTAAGTTGCTGAGACGAGGAGGAGGAGCAAGACCATGAGTTTGGATACGGGTCGGGTCGGTGAACCGGATCCGGATAAAATCCGATCCAGTATTAGCTTCTCTGAAGAATCTTTCTGGTGGTTATTCGACTTCATCTCAATCAAAATTTGTTACTTTATTCTCAGAAATTTGGGAAAATGAAATGATTGTTTCATTCGAGAGACATTTAGTTTTAATGGGTTTAAGGAGAAACGCTTGAAGAGAAGAACATGCAGTTGCTCTCTCTGTTCTGAGCTGGTAAAAGAAAACAAAGTCTTATCGTGAAAGAGACGCATTTACTTGGTTTTGATTTTTTATATGTTTAAAAATACTTTTATCGTGAAAAGTATTTTGTTTTGATATGATAAAGGGTTGACTGTTACTAATAGATTGCTTCTGCAACTTTCAGTCAAGTAATTAACAAAAAGTATATTTAACTTACCTATACAAATAACATTGACTTTCTTTTTGTAATTTACCGTAACCGACGGCAAAATTTACACACATATCATATTGGGATAATCTATACTAAAATAATATTTCCTGTGTTACTATGCGATGGCTGTACTTTTGCTTCGACACGTGTATGGACCCTAGTGGAAAACATGTGTGGTAGTAGCAGAACTTAAGAGCGCGGGGGTTTGGTATGCAAATAATAAATAATGGAGGGCATGGTGATATATCGTCGTTGTTGCAGCAGGAGACAATGGTATCACATCCAAGATTACTACTGTACTAGTACTCCCTGACTTAACGAGAGGGTTAGAATTTGTAGCTTTGTTTTGGCTTACTTTGATGGAAAGTAAACATAGAGTTTGATGTTAAACAGACCAGTGTCTTTTGCAATATTGTAAAAGCGTCAGACTAAAGCCCCGTGGACCTCATGGAATGGATACGTAAGGCAGAGAGCTGGCCCAGTAAAAAGTGACTAGAAGAGAGAAAAAGTAATTGAAATAAATAACTACGAAGAAGAAGTTAGAGGAAATTTTCTTCTGGCCAACTTTAGGTAGTTTTTAGGGAAAATTCTCTTAAAATATTTGAATTAATTTCCATTTACTAATAAAAGACAAATTATCTCTATTTAATACGTAAACTATCTTTTTTTTTATCTACTGAATTTACATACTTTTGAAATTACAAATTTTACACATTAATTCAAATGGTGTCAACTATATTTAACAACAGTGACGATGGTGTTAGGTATAAATAACACAAGTGCTTAAATTATGAAGGATTTTTTTTGTAAAAAAAAAAACAATACAAAAACTAAATTTTAATTGCTAATAAAATACATGAACTATTTTAAATTTCAATTTAATACACAAATTAATTTCCATTGCCCATTAAATATGTAAACTTTTAAAATTTGTAGACTTTATATATTGATTTAGACAAAGTCACTATATCTAATAAAGGGGTTTTTGCCAAAACTAACCCACAACTTGGTTTTAACCCCAATACTAGACCCCAACTTGAATCAAATGCAAATCTAACCTAAAAGGGCTATGAAATTACAATATAGTCCTCTGTGACCAAACAAAAAAACAGAAGACATTTTTACGAATATAACCCCAGTAAGTTGTCTGAGTCGGGCTGAGTTACTTTTCA